TATTTTTTAGATAAAAAATATATTTAAATCATAGTACAATTAATGGCCAATAATAGCAAAGAGACGATGAAAATTGAAATAAATAAATTCACCTTCCATGTTGCTTTTTGAACGCACAACCTCACGGGTTGTATATAATAATCACGTGCTAAACTTCTTTAATACTTCATCCATTCTCTAAATTTTTTAAAAAATTAATAAAATAAAATTGACAAAGATGATATATATTTTATGATAAGTTATATTTATATTTTAATAATAAAAGAAATAGAGGGGAAAAAAAAAACTTAACTCATCATTGTAACGGTAACGTTCCAATTGCCTGCGACATGATAGACAAACTCTTTTTGTTTTTCATAATCGTTTGTCATAGTCTTTGTTTTGAAACTCAAGTTACTTTCAACAGATTCTTTTTCTTATTTAACAAAGTTGAAACAATATTAACAGGTGAAATTAGTTAACCATTTGTAGAAAATAAGAGTAAGAGATCGCCTATATATTAGTATGGTCGTGTTCGGAAAAAATGAAAAGAAAAATAGGGGACAACATGCGTGGTAATATTATTCTCAAGTATATATTCATCTCACGCAACGTATTTCTAATTACTATTGGAGACGAGCTACATTATATCTTTATATTTATTTAAGGAGACAAATTTGGTAAAAATAAAAATAAAAATAAAAGTATATCCATTATAAAGGACGAATCGAAATAGTAAACTGTGGAGACATTTGCCCTCAATAAGTTTTCTATTTTTAACTTCAATCTATTTAATAATAAAATCTGTCCCACAAAAGAATATTATCCGTATACAATATATTTTTTTAAATAAGTGCTGAAAACTTATAAAAGATAGAAATGGAAATAAATTAGTACTGAATTTATTACTTTATCCTAATTTTGACCATTTTATTGTTAATCTAATTAATACTAAACAAAACACACAAAATTACAAATAAATATCTTAATACAATAAATCAAATAGAAGGAAAAAAAAAAGAAGAGAAATTACCGATCAATTTATTAAACAATTTTAATTTATAGAAAATAAGGTATTTAATTTTTTCATGAATAATTATTTTATAAAAATTTATAATATTTTCCTTTATAAAAATATTATAAATTATTTTCCCCTCTAAAAATATTTTCTAGATCCGTCAGTGTCTGTTATTCTTCTGGCTGGCATGGAAAAATATCCTATATAGGGCTGGAGACCGATAATTAAGTCCATAAATTCAAGAATAATCTCTATAAATCTTTAAGTTTAGAACTAGGTTATATACATATGTATGTTAACGTATTAACATTTTGGATTTTTTTAGAGATAACTTAAAGAAATTTTGAAGTGATATTTCCTATCTTCACGTAATTAGTTGACCATTTATATTCACTAACCTATTGAAGCAAGTTGACTGTTTATATTCATTTAACCTACTATTGAATTTTCATTCTATTGGTATCAACCTAAAAAAGATCGATCTAGAAAGTCATTCTAACATATAGACTTAAAGTAAACCAATATATATAAAAAAGAGATTATTAGCCTAAAGAAGATCAAGTTAGAGATGTTGTATAAAGAAGATGGCATGGAAAATATCAACATACAACTTTATAAAGTACATAAAAAAAATGTCTAATACATCATTAACCCTTTAATTTTTTGTGAAGTTTTAATTAGACCCTAAACTGGAATTGAATCCTTCATCGTATATTTTTGCAATTTAGTTTTTATGGTTAGAGGTTTTTTAAAAATCTGTAAAATTTGATAAAATATAATTTATGTCTTTAAATTTGGACAACTATATTATATTATTATTCTGTATCATCATCTATGTATAATAAATTTTAATCATTATCTAATTATATGTAATCTCCTTAATCATTAATCCCTAAACTCTCAATCAACTCTAGAATGTAATCTTTAAAATCGTTTCCAAACTCTGAAAATTGGTTATTCCTACATGAAGATATGAAAAAATATTCGATCAAATTTCATGAAATGTAAACTAATCCCTAATTCTTGAGACTTAATTACAGAGTTATGAAAAGATTAACAATCAATAACAATGTTTTACATTTAAGGACCTCATTTCAAATTCTCATATTGTTTAAGAATCAATTTTGAATTGGTCAAACTAGTTGAAAATTCATAAATAAAAAACTAGGAAAATTTTATAAAAAGTATTTTCTTATTATTTTAATTTAAATATAAAATAAATTCAAAATAAATAAAATTTTATTTAAATACTATTTTTGTTCCTGTTTATGTAAACCAACTTAGAATAATTGTTTATTTATTTTTATAAGACTTAATTTATAGTATTTAATGTATTAATTATTTTTAGACTAAATTATCTTTAATTAAAATATACTTTCTTAATTTGATGAAATACATTAATTTTAAAATTTTTAAAAGACATACATTTTAATTAATTTAAAAAATAAGTAATATAAATTACGAGAGAGAAATAATATATAATATGTATTTTAATTAGTTAAGAAAAAATGTGAATATTAATTAACAAGTACTATAAAAATAATTGTAAATATATATATAAATAAAATAAAATAATTATTATCAATTAAATTAATTATTTTTAATCTTAATAAATTAAATATTTGAATCTTGAAGATAATATTACGCATAAACTCCAAACCCTAAAGACCGCAACGGGGGCATGCATGGTTCGACCATTAACAAAATATAAATGACTAATGTAATTGAAAATTATAGGGGCAGCTGCTGGGTTATTATATATTAACGTCCTCGGAAAAACAAGTTGAATTGTCGTTATTTCTATTTCATAACATGGCTACAGTTCCCTTCAAAAAAAAAAAAAAAAACATGGCTACAGTATAGAAATAATAAAAATTACAAGTTTGTACAAAAAAGGCGTCCACCTGTAGGCTCTTGATAGCTATTAACTAGATAGGAAAGTAAGTATCTGGCCAAAGCAAATAAGTTATAGGAAAAATATAAATTTATTAATAATAATTAATTTCTTATATTTATATAAATCCATATCTTTATTTAATATAAAAAAAATAAAGTTTAAATACGTTTTTAGTCTCTCAAATTTTTTAAAGAAGAATTAAGAATTCTGTCAAATATTATCGACTAAAATTAATTTTTTTAAGATTATAAGACTAAAAATAATAATTATAAGTTAAAGAGACAAAAAATAAATGTATTTTAAATTTAAAGAATTAAAAATATATTTAAATTTAAAAAATAACTATGAATTTTTGTCATTATTTGATTAATGATTTAAATTCTCATTTTGATCCTAAACTCTAATATCAAATGATAAAGATATAACCAACCAATTCAAAGTAGAATATTAAAGAAAGACAAGACAGGAAATAAAAAGAAAAATAGACAATGGACAACTTTTAGTTAATTACCCATTAGGTGTCAATGTCCACACGGGTCATCATGCAATGTAAGTGTTTTAGATTTTTCCCTATAACTTATTAAAATAAGCTTTGGTTAGTTTATGTTAGTAAGTTTCACACTTATGATGTGCTCTAATATGATAAATAAGTGTATTAAACATGTACTTAACTATACTGTACTCAAATTTGTAACATGGGAGCTTATATCAAAAACTTAAATCAAAAGCTTAAATTGTGAAGCTTACTAAATAAGCGAAAGTATAATTTGTTTAAATAAAAGTTATTATAATAAGTCAAAAATAATTAATAAAAAGCTGAATACCACATTTACACGTGTGAACAAATATGATTGAATTTCTTGGAAGGCCTCCCTGGATCTCGTTGTGATGCATGTACAGAAATGACGAATTCTCCCATTTAACAATTGGAGGCAATAAATAAAATTTTGAAATAGATGTTAAGTTGCTGACCGAAAACGAAGCAATAAATAAGGGCAGTGTTGAATTCTATTTTGTTTGGCAGAATGGTCCCATGCACGATTTCATCGGAAGGTGATGTTCGTTTA